GTGTAGTCACTGACCATCGTGTCCAGTCACTGTCAGCTGATCCTGGGAGACCATGAGATGCCAGGGACATAACAAACATGTCCTTTGTGCAAGTTCTGTCAGCCATGTATCCCAAATCCAGTCTTCTATTTCCTTAAGGGTATCCTGATTTTTTTCAGGAAGGTTCATATCCAACTAAATAAAAGAACCCATATCTCACCCTCCCTTGTAGCTGAAGCATATAGCTCTGGGCAATGAGGAACAACTGGAATTCTACTGAGTGAGGTTTCTAGGAAAGTGACATCAGAGACCATGACACCAGTCCCAGGATTTGCCAAGAAGGTGAAGACAGGCCTGCTGTGGGCCACCTGGCCTGGACAGACAATGATGAGGGGTGCATGTGAAAGACAAGACAGACAGAAGGAAGCTGGATGTGAGTTAGGAAAAGGGATCACCCCCCTTCCACTTCTTAAAAGAGAAAAACAAACTAATAGTTGTGTGACTCAGGATTTTTGGGGTTTGCTGTTACCTGGAGTCAAATGTGTATGGAAGTGATACAATCACACTTTTAGATGCATATTGGACGATAGATTTATACGATCAGTTGTAAATCAGTTTCACCTTTAGCTACCTGCTTATAAATTATGAAATTGGAGATAAATGAGATCAACTATTTTTCCCAATTAAATGTGTTACTGAAAAGGACATTTAATTTGCATCTTCTGAATATTAGAAAAATGTATTTGGGTACTAGAATTCTGCTCAGGATGGATAGTACTGTAGACCATGTACTATGTACCCTAAAATTGACTTAGCATATTTGATTTAGTGAACAATGGCTCTGCTAAAATAAGGGCTAACTATTCTATTTCTTTATGTAAGGACTCCATGGAAATTTTTTTTTTTTTTTGTAGTACTGGTGATTGAACTCGGGACCTTGAGCTTTTGAGGCAGGCGGTGGCACCACTGAGCTAAATCCCCGGCCCCACTCCATGGAAATTTTAAATTTATTGGCTATTTAATGAAATCATAAAATTTATTTGGGCCTATGGAAATTGTTATTCTTCACCTTGCCTGGATGTCTTCTGTTTCCACTAATGTATTACCTTTGTAATAAAGGAGAATAAAGCTGATTTATTTATGAAGAGAAAAGTCCTATTGAAAAGTCAGCACAAGGAAATTGGATCAAGATAACAAAATGCACACACCACTTTCTCCTTTCCCTGCAAATAACTCTGTCAAAAGAAAGATCTTTTTAAAGGAGTAGATCTAGACACCACTCAACATTTCCATTAGACAATGGAAATTGGAGGAAGTTCCTGGAAGATAAAAAATCCAGCAAGAATAGTTTGATAAGGGGAGAAGAAAACCTCAGCCTGAGAGAAGGCGCAAGAGAAAAATGGTGGGTGATACACACTGATCCAGAAAAGGCTCATATCCAGAAGGAAATAAAAAGATAGGGGGCATCGCCAACTCGAAGACAATGGCCAGAGAAACTGAAAAACGCTTTCCTCAGCAGAGACCAGGCAGGCCATTTTTCTCTGAGAAGAACAGGCGACAGAGTGACCACCTTCCTTGGTGGGCTTGGCCATTGTCTTGGTTAATGGTGTGGTGGCTGTAGACAGAAGGAAGGTTTGGGGTTTCCTAAAAGGATAAAGACAAAGGGAAGTTTGGTTTGCCTGTAAAGGAACTGAAGTCTAGTTACTGAGGACGTCTGTCAGTGTGACCCTGATACCTTATTTATGTGCCTTGAAATGAAGTGTGGCAACTCAAGAGACCTCACTACTCACATGGCCCAGAATCCTGTCTATAGGGGGTTCTTCAAAGGAACAGGTCTACACAACTGTATGGGAAGCAGAGTCATTACCTGTGCTAATCCAGCAGATGCATCTGTCCAATGAGAGACCTACGCCAACACCCAAGAAACAAAATCAACTCAGCAATGGCAACAGAGAGAGGAAAATGATGATGGTAAAAATAAATGTGTCACCTGAAGGAGACGGTAACTCAAGGAGAACTCTGGAATGTAAGGTTTAGCTAGTGCCCATGAGTGCTGGGGGCTACTGCAGCCAAGAAACGAGAACAGACTGCTAACATAAAGGGTGTTCTGCTAACAGAAGGGTGCACTGGCATTATGACTGCTATGTTTAAAAAAAATCAAATGTCATATTATTAAACCATAGTAAAGTTACTGACACAATAAATGAAATTGAAGAGATGTCCAAGAATGGAGAAAAATGCACACAAAAACTTGGAAAATATAAAGGAACAATTAAGAAATGTGGAGGCTCAGTGATAATTTAACAGGGGCTCCAGCAGACCACTGAGAAAATGGAAGATACAAAAACCCATTTTATAAATGTTCTATGAAAACATGCAGAGCCTCAAGAATGAATTTGGTCTCATATTTGAAGGACTTGTTTAGTACCAACCAAGATGATTTTTTTTTTTAATGTAAAACTGGTGGGCCAGGTGTGGCGACCCATGCCTATAATCCCAGCACTTGGGAGGCTGAGGCAGTAGGACTGTTGAGAGATCAAGGCCAGCCTGAATTACAGAGCAAGACCCTATCTCAAAAATCCAAGAGGGGGTTGTGCAAAATTGGTTTCCCAACAATAAAAATAAAACACAAAAACTTCCACAGCTGTTACCGTGATGGTTATGTGAGAGAAGAAAATGGAAAGTATTTTTGAAATTCTGAAGGAAAATGATTTTGAGTATGGAATTCTATATGTAAAAGAAAAAAAAGAAAAATCTTAAAAAAACCTTAAAAGTTAAGAAAATTAAAATTTTAAAAAGATTAACAAATTAAGGAAAAATTAAGAACGATCATCCTCTCCATATCTATTTTTCAAATTGTTGAATTTCTATCCTCACTGGCTCAAATTCCAATGTCTAAGGCAAACACAAAATCTCCTTATGAATCTTACCATGACTGATCTCCAACCAAGAAAGGGAAATGGAAAACTTTCGGTACTTATTCAATTAAAGTAGCCGAAGGAGGCTGAAGAAGGATACAAAGAGTGGGAAGGATGAGAAAGAAGGGAGGGGAGAGAGAGGAAAAAGGAGAAGAAGGGGAAGCGAGGGAGGAGGAAGAGGAGGGGGAGGCGCACACAGAGACAGGCAGGGTCCAGCCACAGAGCTGGAAGAGGGGAGGAGATCTTGGGATCTACGGCGTGGGTTTCAAACAGGAAACCGGAAGTCATCTTGGTGACCGGAACACTGCATTGCGCATGCGTGTCCCAGAGAAGCAAAGGACTCCTTGTTTCTATTTACCCTGGACGACCCAAGAGTAAATGCCCACTTTCTCCTTTTCTTCAAGAAGGGTTAATGTGAAGAGAAGAGAGTTGCATCAGAAGGTCTCGCCTTCCTTTTATGTTACTAGAAGTGCAAAGTCCTAGGGAACCCGGAAGGGGTAGTTATGCATTTCCTGAAAGACCTAAGGTTTCCGGAAGAAGTCTTTTGCTCTTTGCTACAGTAGAGCCACAATTTTAGTCTGAAGATATGGGAAAGTAAATATGTATGTGGAATTTATAGGGCCTCACAAGATGATCCCAGAGAAAAACTGACTGGGGAATTTAAACCATGAGGGCAAACCTTTTCTTTGACAGGTTCTTGTCCAGAACAGCTTAGCCAAAGTCCTGATGTCAAGTTATGGGTCACTTGTACTCAGTTGAAAATCCTGCCCTCCAGAAAGATGGGTTTCAACTAAGCTGAAAGTTCAGACAGTACAGAACTCAAAATGCACTGCCCTCAAAGTATGTATAGGTCAAGCAAAGATTCTAGAGCTGTACTGTTCAATTTGTAAGTTCAATTATACGCCACATGCGGCTGCTTAGATGAAAATAAATTAAGATTAAGGAGAATTGAAAATTCAGTTCACATGAGCCACATCTGAGTTGAAAACTGCTGCATGTGACAAAAGGTGGGGGCTGCATTTTAGACAGAGGACGACAGATCATTCCCACCAGTGTGGAAAGTTCTAAAGGACGGTATGATTCTAGGACTCTGTTGTCACAAATACAAAGGCTACCCAAGGGCATGCGAGTGTATGTGGCAGCTACTTTTTGAGGTTAATATAACTTAGAAAGAAAATGAGAACCTACAGTAACTCAAATCAGAGACCGTTTTAAACCATGATTACTACTCAACATCTTGGCTAGAATTTATGTCATTATTGATATTACAACGAAATAGATGAGAAACCTAAATCAGAGTGATTAACTAACTTGCCCTGGGCAACTTATCCATAACTGCAACAGAATATTAAGTTGCCTTTTTTCTTCAGACTCATGACCTCCAAACTTCCAAGAAGTCTATCTGCATAGACTCTGTCAGAGGTTCTTGCACACAGAATAAATTCAGTAAGTCTTTGTTGCAATTATTATAATGCAACATCGCAATGAATAAAGGAACAGATAAGTTGCAAGGCAGAGCTAGCAGTAAAACTCAGGTAGAAATAAGAGGAAACAACTAATAGCCTCAGAAGACCACGGAACTAAGGGTGAGCTGGAACTTCAACCATTTCTCACAGGACATGGGCTGCTTCTCTCAGAGGTTTTTGAATCATTCTCTCATCCACTTAATTCTGCTATCTTTTTTGTACCATGTTGATTTTTCTGAACACAAAGGCTCCCTTCCCTTCCCCACTCCCCCAGCACTGTATTAGCACAGTGCACTCGGACTTGCTTACAACCCTTGGGCCATTTCCCTGGGACTCTTTGGCCTGACCATTCCGAGCCTAGGTTTACGGAAGGATCTGTGCTGTGGGGGACACACATGTCCCTTCCGAAAGGCCCAAGAGGTGACTCTGGCTTCCCCACAGAAGGGAAGGAAGTTGGCAGGGTGGGTGAGCAGAGAGGGGATGATTGCTTAGGTTCAGCTCACACGGTGTTGCACCGTGCTGTCTGCTTTAGTTTTCTCTGGAAGCTTCAAAGAAGCAGCCTTCCCTGACACCACTCTTCCCTCCCTGGACCCCCTGAAATCAAAGCCAACACCTGTGAGCTGTGGCCACCACTTACCAGAGCCTTGCTGACCCCAAAGACGTCCCTGACGTCCCTCACGGGCTGCTTGCTCTTCTTCCGAAGAGTCTGGGTGTAGGTGTTGTACCTCTTCTTCACTGCGGCTGCCTGGGTTCGAGTCAATGTGGAGAGCAGGGCTTTGCCGTCTTCCTCTTCCTCCCCAGAGATCAGAGTTGACAGCCCCACGTCTTGAAGCCACTCTGCTTCCAGCTCCCCTTCTGCAACACAGGGCGGACTTCGAGGGTTAGGACTTGGGCAGCTGCAGGTCTGTGCTCATCAGAGGACATGAAACACAGTGAGTAACTCAAGACTGTCTCTCTCTAGGGTAAGTATGAGAAAGGGCTGTAAGGAGGAGTGAAAAGTCCACGTTGTAATTGATTGAGTGATTAAGACATAGGCTCACTGTGTTCTTCAGGCTGGCTTTGAACTCACTATGTAGCCCAGGGTGGCCTCTAACTCACAGTGATCCTCCTGCCTCAGCCTCCCGAGTGCTGGGATCACAGGAGTGCACCACCATACCTGGCCAGCATTGCAATTTAAAAATAAGTCAAACTGTAAAATGCTGCCTAGTGGTGCAAGGTTGATTGGCAGACTTGGAAAGCTTACTCTCCTTGCCAGGGGTTAAATGTAAGTAGTATCTAGACTACCAGTTTCCAAAAAATGATGCCATGTTAAATACTTCAACTAAAGCCGTAATAGGAGATACATGGTTTAGGGGAACCCGAAGGGGTTTCTTCATCACTGAAATGCAGATTCAAATCCCAGTTGTCACCATATACCAGCTGAATGACTGGGGTGCGTGCTAAGAGGGCTCTGGGCCTCAGTGTCCCCTCAGAAAAATGGGTACCGTGAATTTCTGTTTTTCTGTTGCCTGGACATCCATTTTGAAGATAGGCTGGACCTTCCCGGGCCAGGGGCAGGCTCAGTCACCCTGGACACAGCGTCCGGTTGCCCATCTCCTCCCGCTCCTCGGAGTGGTCCATCCAGGCTCTGCCTGCACCACTCCCTGCTGGTGCCCCCTCCCGTGGGCAGCTGGATGCGGCTCGCTGACCCACACCCCAAAGGGACTGTGTCAAGACAAGTTGGGACACCTGGCAGACGAAGCCGCACCCAGGAAGCCTGAGTCCCCTTCCTCTCACCACCCTCAGCTGGAACTCACGGGGTGACACCCAGGACCCCAGGAAAGGCTCCATCTCAGTGGCTGAGCCTGTGGGTCCTTCAGGTGTCCCCTCCTCCCTGGGTCCCTGCGAGGTGCACTGCCCTCTTGTCTCTCACGCCACTTCTGTTACTTCCTGTGTCTGTCTACTCCGGTGTCTCCCTGCCAACACACGCAAACTTAACTTCTTTTCCGGTCAGGAACAGACAGGTCACAGCTCAGACCAGTGCCACAAGGACACTGCTAGTATAAACAAGTTTCCTGTCAAAAGGTCACCCGGTCACGGTAGGGACACCGCACATCAGGCCACCCAGCAAGAAAAGAAGTCTCCTGTAAACCGTACATGGTAAACATGCACAGCCACCTCCCCTGAGCGAGACTGTGACATCAAATGAGAGGAACACACAGCAGGAACAATAAAAACAAAAGTTTGGGGCTATGAGGTTTTCTTTTAAAGCAGTGTTATTTATAAAGACTGCAAAGAATGTGGAAGAAAATTAGGTATTCAATAGACGTTCATTGTCCTTGTTCTGGACATGGGCTAATCATTTTGTTTTTCAAAAGGCAACTAAAACACCTAAGATTCATCCATGAGAATTAATTGCTATTGTAAACTAGATAAACAGAAACAAAAGGAATTCAGGATAACAACGTCCAGGAACAGCGAAGGCACGAAACATTTGTGTCTGGGTCCTGTGCTAAACAGGCTGTACCCAAGTGCGGGATGTTTGCAGAGAGATCAGAGCGGTTTGTCAACACAAGCTGCAGCTCAGGTCTAGGAGTCCTGGCCCCTGCTTACATACAGCATTGGCGATCTACAAACAAAGCCTCCTAATAATGTGCTCTGCAGGTTCAAGTCTTCAGCTAAGCAAATATTTTATTTGCTATCTTGTTTTTATTGTTTGTTTGCTTTGTAAGCTTCCCCTTTAACAGAAAACGAAAGGGGATTTATGCTGACTTGGAAGTCTTCCTTTATTAAGCCTTAGGTAAGATTTTCATTTCTGAAGACAGTTTATGAATGTACGTTAATATTCAGGTTTGGAGAACTGGGTTTTTTTCTCTCTGCACCTCCGTATGGAGGGAGGAAAGGGTGGGAGGGGTGATTGCCCGGCTGGTATTGACATCCACTAGGGGTGGGGTCGGTCTCAGTCCTGGGAATCAGCCTGCGCCCGTGTAGAGCATTTTCCCAGTGAGAATGGCAGACAATAGCGGGCCTCCTGTGTGCCGAATTCTGTACAGTGCAATCCTGTAACAAACAGGTCCCTCGACACGCAGCGCTCCTTTGAATTTCGGCTCTGCCTACTGCCCTGCCTGCTCAGTACCTGCTTGGCTGCCTCAGTCGTGTCACATTCAACAAGTCCAAACCTGAGCTCGCTTTCTTCATTCCCGACTCTGGGCCTCTTCCACTGATCCGCATTTCATCAGGCAAAACCACTGTTCACGTAATGAGGCAAGAGGGTAACTCAGGGCACCTCCGACTTCCCCTTCCTGGGACGTCAGCCTCAGTGCGTGACCAAGACTTTCTGACGTTGCGTCTTTTTTCGGTTTTTTTTTTTCCCCCATTAACTTTATTGGTACATTTTAGGTATACAATACAGTTACATTCATCATTGGGATCTTGTACCACTACATGATGCATCTTGGTTCTTATTTTTTTCCCCTTCCCCTGCTCTCCCTTCACCCCCTCCACCCTCCCTATTTACAAAGACTTTGTTTCCATTTTTTTCCTTTTCTCTTCTTTCCTTTCCCCTACCCCTCCCACTTCCCCTGCTCCTTTAGACCTTTTCTTCCTGTTACACAATATCAATTATACATTTTTTAAATTACAATATCAAGATCTAGGAGACATTACCACAGATTGTACAGAATTTAAAAGGATATAGAAAGCATAT